TTCCACGCCGTGTCCCTCCCTAGTGCGGGGACAGTGCCCGGGGGGGTCTGTGGGAAGGACCAGGACAAGGACTGAAGGGGTGTCCCTGGCACCGGAGGGTCTCCCCCACAATGCCACCCCACGGAGGGGTGTTTGTGGGTCTCTGGCTGCTGCTGACCCCCAGTCTTGCTGAGAGCCCCCCCAGCACAGGGTGGGCCACTCTTGCCTTCGTCTTTGATGTCACTGGCTCCATGTACGACGACCTGGTGCAGGTGATGGACGGAGCCTCCCGCATCCTGGAGCGGACGCTCAGCAGGAGCACGAAGCCCATCAGCAACTACGCTCTGGTCCCCTTCCATGACCCAGGTACGTCTGGGACAGGGTGAGGACACGTGTCCTGCCGGGGATGGGGCTGTGGGGAGCTGGGGTGTGGCTCTGGCTGGGTTTGGGGCTGAAGTGTGCACTTCCCAAGTGCTTGTACGATCCCTTCTCTGTGTTTTTAATGCCTTGGTGGTTGCTGTGGTGGGGATGGCAGTACAAGATGAGCTGCAGGTCGAGGGCATGGAGCTGGGCTAGGGCTTCTGTTCCCATGCCAGTCTATGGGCACAGGGTGAGCTGTTTCCAATGCAGTATTCCCAGGGATGCTGGCACCCACTGGTGGGTTGCTCTTCCACTTTCATCCTATTCCAATCTCCCTGGTCTAATTGTGGTGGGGGTATTTCTGTACAAGTCCATGATGTGCTTCCAGGGCATGTCAATAAAAGCACCACTCCCTGAGAGGTTTTGGCAATTCACTGCCCCACCAGAATAATTTCTTTCTGTCCCTGTCTTTGCCTTGGGCTTTTTGTGCACACCCATAAAAGAACAACTGTTCACCAAAAGAGCCCCAACCTCCTACAAGGAGAGCAGAACCCAGGCTTTATTTTTAGCAGAAACACTGGACTGAATGAAAACCACTGGAGCCAGACAAGGAAGGAGGCAGAGGCCATGAATGGGTTTCTGCACTGTTTTTCTGGGAGCATCCCTCAGCAGAAAAGGGTGCTGGGTTTGCAGCTCACCTTTGCTGGGATCACCTGTTGTGTTGGGAGAAATTCCCAGGCACGGGAATGGTCTGCCCAAATGGTCACGGTACAGGCATGTGGCTGGTCTGCCCAAATCCATTTCTCACCTGGTACCAAGCCAGGGTAGATGCTGAACCCTGAGCCTCACAAGTGTTTGAGCTGGGGTGGGTGCTCAGGAGCACTGGCAGTGCAGGTGGCACAGGAGGAGGCTGGTGCTGAGGGTGGTGTTGGTGTGTTTGCAGAGGTGGGACCTGCCACCCTCACCACGGACCCCCAGCTCTTCCAGCAGCGCCTGCGGGAGCTCCATGTCCAGGTAGGCATCCTCAGCCCCACGGCTGTGCCAGGCCTGGCTCTGGCCCGTGGCACTTGGTGGGGAGCCTGGCTTTTCATGGTGGTGGGTTCCAGGAGTAATCTCTGCATCCCCTGGGGAGAGTGGTGGGGTCTCAGGGCTGAGCCAGGCTGCCAGGGTCTTGCACTCCCAGTTCACAGCTCTTGTCCTGAAGGGAGATGGTCTCCCCAGGAGAGTTTGCACAGACTCTCTGTGGAAGCAAAAAATCTATTGTCTTAGAAGCACTGCTTGAAAAATGAATTTTTAAATATTTTTTAAAGTGATTTCATCTGTTTTCTGCCAGATGAAATTCTCCCCAGGAGTTTAATCCTGTTTTATCCATCCCCATTCCTGCTCTGCCTCCTGTGCATTGCTAAATCCCTGTGGCTTTTCCCTTCAGATGCAGCTGGTTTGGCAGGAGGTGTAACACTGTGGCTGCAAGTGGTTTCCCAGCCCTTTGGGGTGCCAAGCCCTGGGGAAGTGGGAGCTGGTCCTTACTGTGCCCCTGCACTTCCCTGGGGTGGCTGGTTCTGCTGCCAGGGCAGGTGAGGGGCTGGGTGGGCACAAATGTTCCTGATAAAGGTCTTTGTGGGAAACCAGTGGCTTCTATGAGCCTGGATCCCCCAGCTGGTGGTTTAAACACCATTGAAGCTGAGAGAGGGATGGGTCCATGTAATCCTGCGTGTCCCTGCGGTTCCATCACGCTGCTTTGGGCTGACTCCAACAAACTGGTGTAGTTCCTCCTGTGAGCAGACATTGGGTGGGATCCTGCCAGGAGCCCAGCAGGGAAGGACTGAGCACTGGGTGGCTGTGCCACGTCCCTTTTGTGCCACAGGGTGGAGGGGACTGCCCGGAGATGAGCGTGGGAGCCATCCGGCTGGCTGTGGAGATCTCACATCCCGGCTCCTTTGTCTACGTCTTCTCCGACGCTCGGGCCAAGGACTACGAGCAGCAGGAGGAGCTGCTGAGGCTGCTGCAGCACAAGCAGACCCAGGTGAGAGGTGCTGCCCACCAGGCTCCAGCTTGGGGGGACACTGCAGCAGCGCATCAGTGAAACACAGTGACAACCCCCGCTGTGCCGCCTGGTGGTGAGGGGGATTTTCCATTCCCTGGGTGACTCAATGTACTGGGATGCTGGTGGATGCTGGTTCTGTCCCCTCCCTGGGCTGGTGGTTGTGTGGGGTGCCACAGGGACCGTTGCTGTGGCAGGTGGTGTTCGTGCTGACGGGGGACTGCGGGGACAGGAGCCACCCCGGGTACCGCGTGTACGAGCGCATCGCTGCCACCAGCTCCGGGCAGATCTTCCACCTGGACAAGCAGCAGGTGACAGAGGTGAGTGGGGGTCCCTGCTCCCACACGGAGTGGCTGAAGGGCGTGTGGTCCAGCCCAGGTAGCTGAGCTCTTGTGTTCTGCCTGTGGTGAATCCTTGTGCCCAAGGCACCCCCAGATTGCTCTGGGAGCCCCACTTCAGTCTGAAGCTGGGGTGGGGGCTGGAGAAGGCTGCCTGTGGAATCCTTGGGATGAACTGATCTTCCAGCCCCTGACGAAGGAAAGTGTCTGCCTGGGGCTGAGGCTGAAGCTGTGGCACTCCTGGCAATAACAACTACACCAAATTACAGGGGGGGCTCAACCAGGGCCAGTACCTCCAGCCCACCTGTCCCTGAGCCCCCTTGTGCTGGCACCAGATGGACCCCACAGGGGCTGCTCCCTTGCCTGGGTGCTGTTTTGCAGCTGTGCCTGAGATTGTGACCTGGTGCAACACAGCCCTGCTCCCAACATGACTCTGAAATGGCCATGCCTGTCAGTGAGGGGGGATCCAGGTTAATTCTCCCCCATGTGCCTCCAGGTGTTGAAGTGGGTGGAGGAGGCCATCCAGGCTTCCAAGGTCCACCTGTTGTCCACGGACCATGAGGATGGCGGGGAGCACACATGGCCTGTCCCCTTTGACCCCAGCCTGAGGGAGGTCACCATCTCCCTGAGCGGCCCTGCCCCAGGGATCAAGGTCTGGGATCCAGCAGGTAGGAGCACAGGGGAAAGTGATGACAGGGGGTGATGCTTTGCCTTCCAGAGAGACCTCAGGTCAGGACAAGCAGAAAGGGGTTCATCAAACCCTGCCCTGAAAACTCAAATAAAAATCCCTCAGTAAACAGCAAGGGATTGTTGTTTACAACATCTCCAGGGATGGCTTTGCCTTTGGCTTTAAGGGGGGTTTCCCTGCTGTCCTGGCTGTGAGCTGTGGTGGGCTCTGCACTACCCTGAGCCCTTAGGGAGGGGGCTCCTGGCTGCTGCAGGGACCAGGGGATGGATTTGGGTTGCCCAACCCAGAGGTTCCCTTACTGTTGCAGGAAAGGTCCTGGAGACAGGCCAAGGTCTGAAGGAACTTCTCAGCATCCCCAACTCAGCCATGGTGGTGGCTGTGGAGCCCTATGAGCCAGGGACGTGGCTGGTCACGGTAGGCTGGTGGCAGACCCTGCACATCCTCTGCCTTTCCCTGATGGATATTTAGCTGGCCAGACTTTTCCAGGTGTCAGCTTTCCCCGTCCATCTCCAGACAGGCAGAGGATGTGTGAGCAGGCTGGAAGGGGCCAGCTGCCACCTCCTCCCTTCCCATCACCTTTCCCTTTCCCTGCCCTCAGCACGTGCCTCTCAATCTGCTTCCAGACCCGGAGCAGTGGCCGCCACTCACTGAGGATCACGGGCATCAGCAACATTAATTTCCAAGCCAGCTTCTCCTCCCAGCCGGACTTTGACGCCAGCCAGCCTGGAGAGCAGCCGGTGCAGGGTGAGGCTGGTGCTGCCCAGGGGGCTGGGTGCTGCACCTGGGCATCTCACAGCCAGGAGTGTGGTTGGTTGCTTTTTCCCCTCCCTGCTTTCCAGGTCTGCCCATCTCCGTGGTGGTGAACTGCACCGGTCTGAGGCTGCCTGGGCGCCTGCAGGAGATCGAGCTCTTCAACACCTCTGGCCATGCCCTGCTCTCACTGCCCATGTGGCCCCTCTCCAACTCCTCCTCGGGGCAGCTCTGGGTGGGTTCACCTCTCCGTGTCCCCCCAGGTGACTTTCTGCTGAAGGTGAAGGGTGAAGATGCCCAGGGCCACCCCCTGCACCGCCTCTCTGGGGTCACCTACACCAGTGTGGTCCCTGGTGAGTGGAACACACGCTCCCCACAGGTGCTGAGTGGGGACCAGAGATTCCAACACTGCCTCTGCTTTGATTTCTCCCTGGGTATTTTTTATTCTGCTTCCCAAGGGCAGCTCCCAGTGAGCTCCTGAGGGGTGTTACATGTCTGCATATCCCCAAACGCTTCCAGGTCTGCCCAAAGTGGACATCTCCAGCAAGATCCAGGCTTACAACCGTGAGCCACAGCTGATCTCCTGCTCTGCACGGAGTGAGATCCCTTTCCGCCTGAAGCTCAACCGAGGCAGGGTGCAGCTCAGGGAAGAGCAGCTCTTCAGGTGAGCATTTGGTATGGCCCCATGAGCTCCATGAGGGACCCACGTGGGCAGGAACAGCCCCTGAGCTGTGTGGGCTGGGGGGATGCTCTGTGCTGCCTGCAAGCTCTGAGCATCTCAAAAGGAAAATTCCGAGGGACATGTCTGCAGGCAGCGTGGGTGTGCCCCTTTGCCTGACTCAGATGGATTAGGTTTGGGATGGTGGCATGGCAGTCCCAAGGTATGGGGGTGCCCCACCTTTTCACCTCTCCCTGTTTGTAGGCGTTCAGGGAACATCAGCTGGCTGATCCCTGCAGTGTCCAAGAGCGATGAAGGGTTTTACGAGTGCACGGCCACGAGCAAGGTCGGGGTGACACGGGCTCGTGCCTACGTCTCTGTGTCAGGTGGGGGCTGCTTGTGCCAAGCCTTGGTGCCCTCTCTGTGTCTGTGGCTGGGCACAGGCTCCTTTCACCCTGGTGTCCCGTGTTTGCAGAGCCGCCACCGCGTCTCATCGCCCCAGACAACATCACGGCTTCGCCGGGCCAAGACGTGGTCATGTCCTGCCTGGTTCTGGGGGATGTGCCCTACAACCTGACGTGGAGCTGGGATGGGAAGTCGGCTCAGCCAGGGGATGGCCGGACCCGGCTGCTGCAGAACCGCTCTCTGGAGATAAGCCGCGTGCGGCCGGGGGACGGGGGCCTGTACGAGTGCGTGGCACACAACGCCCACGGCACTGCCACCGCCTCCCTCTGGCTCTTCATCCAGGGTAGGCTTTGCCCCCTGTGGGACGCTGGCCCGGGTGATATTTTGCCCCATGGGTGGGTAGTGAATGGCACCCAGGGGCTGAGCCCTGCTCCCACCCCGTGCAGAGGCGCCGTGGGTGAAGGTGGGCCCCAGCCCCCAGCGTTTCAGGAGGGGCCAGGAACTGCATCTGAACTGCACGGCCGGGGGCCACCCCCCACCCCACACCACCTGGAAGCGCTGGGGCTGGGCACTGGAGCAGGACGAGAGGTAACCTGTGGGGACCTGGGTGCCTCCATCCTCCCTGTCCCATGGGGATGATGCTTCCCTTGCAGGGATGTATGGGCTGAGGGAGAGTGGCTTGGGGCTGCCATAGCTCCAGAGAGAGGGAGGCATTGCAGTATCCCAGGCACCTGAGATGCTTGGCATGCTGCTGGCCTTCATATATTTATTTTTAAGCTGTCCTGCCTTATCCAGGTCACTGTCCCCACCAAGGGGACTCACAGTGCTTTGCACACATGGTGTGTGCTCAAGTCTCAAAACATTCCTTGTAGTTCTTAATTTCTTCTGCTTTTGCCTTCCACCTCCTGCCTGTGTCAGGCTGTGAGTTCTGGAGTGGACTTTGGGGAAGGCTTTTTGACTCAGGAGATGAAAAAGCCCAATTCTCAGTGCTTTTTCCTGGTTCAGAGCAAAGTCTTTCCCTGCAGCAGCTGACAGAGCTGGCTCTAAGTGCTGACCCACATCCATCACATGCCCAGCACTTGCCACGTGTGAGGATGGCCTGAAGCCCACTCATTTATATCAACACATCTTCCATCATCTCTGCTTTCACAGGGCTCATCTCTCCCTCTCTCTCCCTGTTTGCCACAGGGTTTTTAGGGATGCTGAGGGTACCCTGCACATCAAGGCTGCTGTCCCAGAGGATGCAGGGAATTACAGCTGCTATGCTGGCAGCACACTGGGCTGGGATGAGCAAGTCATCACCCTGGAGTTCACTGGTACCTGCTCCCTGCTGGCCAGCAGCACACTGGGGATGGGACTGTGCGTGATGGAGGGTGTTGGGGGCAGCACACTGGGGATGGGGCTGTGTGTGATGGAGAGCATTGGGGAGCAGCACACCGGGAATGGGGCTGTGTGTGATGAAGGGTGATGGGGGCAGCACAGCTGGAATGGGACTGTGTGTGATGGAGGGTGNGGCTGAGCCCTGCTCCCACCCCGTGCAGAGGCGCCGTGGGTGAAGGTGGGCCCCAGCCCCCAGCGTTTCAGGAGGGGCCAGGAACTGCATCTGAACTGCACGGCCGGGGGCCACCCCCCACCCCACACCACCTGGAAGCGCTGGGGCTGGGCACTGGAGCAGGACGAGAGGTAACCTGTGGGGACCTGGGTGCCTCCATCCTCCCTGTCCCATGGGGATGATGCTTCCCTTGCAGGGATGTATGGGCTGAGGGAGAGTGGCTTGGGGCTGCCATAGCTCCAGAGAGAGGGAGGCATTGCAGTATCCCAGGCACCTGAGATGCTTGGCATGCTGCTGGCCTTCATATATTTATTTTTAAGCTGTCCTGCCTTATCCAGGTCACTGTCCCCACCAAGGGGACTCACAGTGCTTTGCACACATGGTGTGTGCTCAAGTCTCAAAACATTCCTTGTAGTTCTTAATTTCTTCTGCTTTTGCCTTCCACCTCCTGTCTGTGTCAGGCTGTGAGTTCTGGAGTGGACTTTGGGGAAGGCTTTTTGACTCAGGAGATGAAAAAGCCCAATTCTCAGTGCTTTTTCCTGGTTCAGAGCAAAGTCTTTCCCTGCAGCAGCTGACAGAGCTGGCTCTAAGTGCTGACCCACATCCATCACATGCCCAGCACTTGCCACGTGTGAGGATGGCCTGAAGCCCACTCATTTATATCAACACATCTTCCATCATCTCTGCTTTCACAGGGCTCATTTCTCCCTCTCTCTCCCTGTTTGCCACAGGGTTTTTAGGGATGCTGAGGGTACCCTGCACATCAAGGCTGCTGTCCCAGAGGATGCAGGGAATTACAGCTGCTATGCTGGCAGCACACTGGGCTGGGATGAGCAAGTCATCACCCTGGAGTTCACTGGTACCTGCTCCCTGCTGGCCAGCAGCACACTGGGGATGGGACTGTGCGTGATGGAGGGTGTTGGGGGCAGCACACTGGGGATGGGGCTGTGTGTGATGGAGAGCATTGGGGAGCAGCACACCGGGAATGGGGCTGTGTGTGATGAAGGGTGATGGGGGCAGCACAGCTGGAATGGGACTGTGTGTGATGGAGGGTGCCCCAGGGTTCCATGGCTGGAGACCAAAGCCTTCTCTCCCTGTGGCACAGAGCCTCCTGCCATCCTGGCAGTGACACCCAGCCTGAAGGTGCTAGTGGGAGAAGACGTGACCCTGGAGTGCTGGGTTTCGGGGGCACCCCCACCCCACATAGTGTGGTACAAAGGTGAGATTGGGAGGAGCTGGGGAGCAGATCCCCTCCACGCACTGGGGTCCCCTGGCCCGGCACTGGGAGGGACCCACAGGGGCACTCGGGGTGCTGATGTGGGTGCTGATGTGGGGGTCTCTGGGCAGGTGAGCAGGCGATGGCAACGTTCCCAGCCGGCACCCAGCGTGCCATCCTGAGGCTGCAGGAGGTGCGGGAGGAGGACGCGGGGCAGTTCATCTGTGAGGCTCTCAGCGAGGCCGGCGTCGCCTTCGACAGCACCCAGCTGGACGTGGGCTGTAAGCCTCTGCCCTCCTGTTCAGTTCAGCTCCCACTTGCTGCTTCCCAAGTCTCTTCTTGCTGCCGCCTCCCGGATTTCCCAGCAGGGGGGTGTTAGTGCTCGGTACAAGCAGGCAGAAGCCTGGCAGGATTTCTAAGAGTTGGGAGGATGGAAGAGTTTCAGCAAGTGACAGAAGCCAGTGCAGTTGTTACTGTATGGGGACATGATGGCTTGGGACCCAGCTGGGGATGCAAAGTGCAATCGGTGGGATTAGGCAGAGGTAGGGCCTGACTTCTCTGTGTCTGAAAATCGAGGTACTCTGACCGTTGCTCAGGGCTTTCCACCACAGGGAGAAGAGATGGAAGAGCATAGGGAGGAGGAGGGAAGGCTCTGAGCTGCAGGCAGTAGGGATAAAAGCAGTTAAAGATGGAAAAGTGCAAGAGGTTTTGCTGAGTGTAACTGAAAGGGAGAGAAACTGCAGTGGCTCTAACAGCTTTGGAAAAGCCTCAAATGCTTTAGGTCAGTCTCGTAACTTGTGAGGGCACCTGGCTCATGGGTTTTGCAGTCCCATCCCTTCTCCAGGCTTGGCTGTGCTCAGAGTGGGAAGCTGGTATGCTGGACCTGCCTGAGCCCCTTTTCCACTGCTCTCTCCTCCAGCTGCCCCTCACTTTCCCGAGCCCCTGGGTGACATGGAGGTCACAGCTGGGGAAAGTGTGACCCTACTGTGCCACGCCGAGGGATCTCCCCCGCCACGCGTCACCTGGTCCCGGCAGGATGGGAAGCCTGTGGAGGGCTGGCAGGGACCACGGGGTGATTCCAGCCAGCTGGAGGCTGCCAAGCTCCTCATCAACAGTAAGAACTGAGCATGCACACATTTATTTGTATTTTTAACTTGTGCAACTTTAACTGTGCTGCAACAGCCTGTGGAGGGCTGGCAGGGACCACGGGGGGATTCCAGCCAGCTGGAGGCTGCCAAGCTCCTCATCAACAGTAAGAGCTGAGCATGCACACGTTTATTTGTATTTTTAACTTGTGCAACTTTAACTGTGCTGCAACAGCCTGCAAGCCTCCAGTGCCACCGAGTCTGTCCTCCTTTGGAGGTGGTGGGAGGGAAGGGGAGGGTGGTGTCACCCATCCCAGAGCTCGCTTGGGGCTCTCCAGCCCCATCACGCTCAGGCTTGTCCCCACTGTGCCCCAGGTGCCTCACTGGATGACCAAGCCATCTACATCTGTGAAGCCCAGAACGAGTTTGGGAAAATCCAAGCGGAGGTCAAGCTCACAGTCACTGGACACGGTTTGCTTTTCCATGCTTTGGTTGGTGTATCGATCCTGGCTGTGCTGGCAGTGAGTGGCAGACTGGAGCAACCACGTCTGCACTGGAGCCAGCTGTTGGGAATGCTAAACAAACCCCAGGGCAGGGTTTGGGTAATGCCCTTGCATCTCTTTGACTTAATACACTGACATGTGCTTGAACCCGAACTGCAGCAAATATCCCCAAATTCCTGGGGGAGATAAATGTCTGCCTTGTGCAGAGCCAGGATCTGGACCCTGGAAAAAAGGTGATCCAGATCCGCTCTCCTGGGTGTTCCTGACCAGTTTATCACCAATTAATATTGTTTCCCTCTCCCCTCTTTCAAGCAGCCCCAGAAATAGCTCTTGCATCCCCTGTGGTCCACGCGCTCCCAGGCCAGCCTGTGTCACTGCCCTGTGTGATCCTGGCTGGGAGGCCACTCCCAGCCCGCCGCTGGCTGAAGGATGGACAAACGGTGAGGTTTCCATGCCTGCTGGGGTGGTGGGTGGGTGAGTGGGCAGCTGCCCTGCAGCAGGGGCTTTGCTGCAGGATGGGTGTCACAACCTGCCAGGCCGAAGCTGCTGGTGAAAGATGCCCGGGGAGCGTTTGTGTTGGGAGGGTAACGTGGCTTTATCACCACACCAGGATGTTCTGTTGCTCAAGGATCAGTTTTTAGATGTGTCCTAAAGGCACAGCGATAAGGTGGTGTTTGACCCCTTGACTGTCCTGCTCTCTGCATGTGCCCAGGTAGCCCCAAGTGACCACTACTCCATCCGGGCTGATGGTAGCCTGCACATGGACCAGGCATCCCAGGGGGATGCAGGGAGGTACACCTGTGAGGTGACCAACGCCCTCGGCTCACACAGGCAGGACGTGTCCCTCGTCATCCACGGTGAGTGACAGGGTGCTGGGTGTCTGAGCACCGCTCTCTGGGGAGATCTGGCCCTGGCCATGCAGGGTGAGGTGCTTCTCTTCCTTCCCAGTTCCTCCCAGCATTGAGCTTGGCCCTGTCCTTGTCACTGCCACCGAGGGAGAGGCTGTCACCCTGCGGTGCAATGCCACTGGTGTGCCCCCCCCTATGGTCACCTGGGCCAAGGTAGGTGACAGGGACAGGCAGGCTGCTGTCCCTCTGCCACTCAGCTTTGGGTCACCCTGGGTGCTGTGTTTGAGGGTAGTGTTGTTCTCTAGTGTGGCTGTGGGTGCCTGGAGAGTTGGCACCAGGTATCCTGGGAAGTTGGGACCAGGACATGGCTTGCTCTGATGGGTCCAGAGCCCTCTTCTTGCCCTTGGGCTGCTCAGCTCATGGGACAGTCTTTGCTGTCTTCCTCCCTTCCCTTCCCTCTGCAGGGCACAGAGCCCATTTTGCTGAGTCCACAATACCACCTTGACCCTGATGGGACCCTCCTGATCCCTTCACCCTCCCCTGGGGACGCTGGGACCTACTTCTGCACAGCTACCAACGCCGCAGGTTTCTCCAGCCAGGAGATGCAGCTCTCCATCAGCAGTGAGTGCCCAGGACTGCTCCAGAGGGGACTGGCTGGGAGAGCATGACCTGGGAACACTCATGGCTTCCTTGGAGCACCTATCCAGGTTCCAGATGGGTTTGCAGGATGGGAAGAGAAGCGATGAGGGCTGTGGGGCACCTGAGGTGTCCCTGCACCAGCTGTGCTCCCTCTCCATCCAGCGAAGCCCAGGATCAGTGTGAATGGATCACAGGGGCCAGACCCTGTCACCGTCCTGGCTGTCCTGGGGCAGGAGACCACGCTGCCCTGCGAGGTTCAAGGATACCCCCCTCCCTTGGTGGTGTGGAGCCGACAGTCCCAGCCGCTGCCTCTTGCCACCACGAGGTAAGGTTGTGGGTGCTGGGGGCCCCTAAATTCATGGGCCTGGATCTTGGGGTTAAGCACTTTCCCTGTACCTGAGGATTGCTGTGGGATGGGGAAGCAGGGAAGGCATCTTGGGTTTGCTCTTCTTGAGGGACTGTGGTGCCTTGTTGTTCGTGTCTGGCTTCCTGTGGTTGGCCTGTGCTGCTCCCCACATCTCAGCTGGGTTGTGCTCATGTGGTGGGTGATTGATGGGTGCACGCGAGGAGGAATCTGCAGTCGTGGGCTGAGATGATGTTATGTCTGTGGAGCACAGGCAGGGCTGGGAGCAAGAGCGTGGCCAGCTCCAGCTGCAGGGGCTGTGCTCCCTGGGGACCCCCATTCCCCTTCATCCCCCTGGGCTCATGTGCTGCCTCATGCTGAGCTCGTGCAGGGGCTAAGCAAAGGGGATTTGCCCCCATGGGCAGCACTGCCACCCTTCTTGCACAGGAGGTGGCCCTGGGGATCTTCTCTTGGCTGTCTCAAGGCAATAGTGAGCTCTCAGCCCTTAGCTCTTGCCTGGGGGTAGGTGATGGATGACATGGCTGTTCCTCCCATCCAGCATTTCTTTTCCCTCTCCCCCAAGATACAGTGTCCTCCCTTCGGGGTCCCTCCATCTGGCCGAGCCCCAGGTGACAGACAGTGGGCTCTACACCTGCACAGCCACCAACACCGCGGGGAACACCTCGCTCACCTACAGCCTGCACGTCCAAGGTTCACATCCCTGCTTAAAATACTCCTCCCAAGGGCTTAATGTACCACTGGGGTCCTGCACCCTCCAAGCCCTTGGCTGCTCTCACATTCCCATGCCAGTGCCTGAGGGTGGTCCCTGCCTGAGGTCCCCTTTCCCCCCAGCTCCGCCCCAGCTGTGGATCGGCGATGGGGAAAGTCACCTGACAGCAGTTGCCAACACCTCCCTGAGGATTCACTGTCATGCCATGGGCACCCCTCCACCCCAAATCCAGTGAGTACTGCAGAGGGGTGTGTCCTGCCTGTCACCCCAGGATGTGTGACAGTGACCTCTGGCTTGGGGTGTCCCTTAGGAGGTATCCATTCCTTCTCCTTGCCTCTGGTATCCTCTGCCTAATGATCTGGGCACCACCAACCCAGGGGACAGTCCTTGCTGCCAGCAACCCACAGTTCACCCCATTGGTGTGCAGGGATGGGGGGTGGGTGGTGGCAGGACAGACCAAGGACTTGCTGCCTGTCCCCTTCCCCACAGGTGGCTGAAGGATGGGCACCCTCTGGGCGAGCAGGACAATGTGGTGGTGTCTGAGGACGGTGGGACTCTGCTGATCACCCGTGTGGGGCTGGGTCACGAAGGGCTCTACGTCTGCCAGGGCAGCAACAGGGCAGGGGTGGCCCAGGCGGAGGTGCAGGTTTTGGTACATGGTGAGCACAGCACTGGGGAAAGACCCAATATCCATCCCATGTGTCTGGGAGAATATGGCTGGCCAAAGGGCTGGGTGTTCTTGGCCATGCTTTTTGGTAGTTGCAGAGTCATTATCCTGATGTATTGGGTTCTTGTTCTTTGGCAATGAGGCTGAGAGCTGATGGCCACTGACACCCCAGTAAAGCATAGCATCCATCCTTGGTGGGTGCTTCCAGGGGGAGGGTCTTCCCCAGCCCCATTTTCCCTTCCCACCTCCATCAGGAGGGTGTCACGGTGAAGGTGCTGCGTGAGAAACCAGGCAGGGAGCAGACATGGGGAGGATGAATGTCTCATTGGGGTGGGGAACTAACCTGCTGGCTGGCTTGGGGAGCAGCAGTGAGCCTGGCTGCGCTGCCCAGCCCTGCCCTGTGGTGGCTGCAGACAGCCTGGGCCATGCAGAGCTGATGATGGTGTGTGCTGGGTTGCAGTGCCTCCAAACATCGAGCCCAGCCCGGTGGACCTGGCTGTCCCAGAGAACGGCACAGCATCCCTGGAGTGCCTGGCCTCGGGGTTGCCTGCTCCTCGTGAGTCAATCATCTTCCTTGCTCTTGCTCCTGCATCCCTGGGGCTTTCCCTGGGTCCCCTGGGTGAGAGGGACAGCAGTATTGCACCTCACAGCTTGGCTCCTTCCAGATATCACGTGGTACAAGGGGCACGAGGAGCTCTTGGCTGGACCAGGACAGACCCTGTCCAGGGATGGGAAGCGCCTGGAGTTCCAGCGTGCCCGGCTCTCCGACGCCGGCAGGTACCGCTGCGTGGCCTCCAACGTGGCTGGAGTGGCTGAGCTCTGGTACAGCCTGCAGGTCACTGGTGAGTGCACACTGAGAGAGGGGTGCTTCCCCCCATGGAATCCCTCACGTAAGCACGAAACCAGTGGGGCTGTCCCAGCCCTTGGGACATATCCCTGGAAGGTGGGTTTAGCATTCACAGTTCCAACCATGCAATCCCCTGCGTTCATCCCAAGCAATGTCCTAGAAAACCACGACACCCTGGATGGGTGTTGCCTGATCTCCCTCACGGTGTCTCCTACCCACCCTGTCCCTTTTGTGTCCTGCTGTGCCTGGTGACATTTCTCTGTCCCCCAGTGCCCCCACAGATCACAGCTGGCCCCAGCCCCCTCACGGTGCTGCTGAACGAGCCGGTGACCCTGGAATGTGATGCCATAGGGACCCCAGCTCCGATGCTGCTGTGGCTGAAGGATGGCAACCCAGTGCCCAACGAGGCAATGGGTGGCCCACAGGTGAGACAAATCCTGATGGAGAGGGACTCACTGGAGATGTCCCTCCAGGAAGGTGCTCTTTTTTTCTTGTCTGACTTTTAGAAAAACAACTGCTAGAGCTGAGCAGGTGCAATGTCACCCATGGGGGCATAGACCTGCTCAGCCCTGCACTGAGCTTTCCTACCATGCAGGGCAGGATCGGGTAGAGGGTCCCCGGGATGTTTTGAGAATGGGTTCAAGGCAGGCTTATGCCCATTCCCACATCCCTGTAAGGCAGTATGCAGCCCAGCTGCCTATGAGTTTCTCTGGTTCTGTGCTCATCTGGGCTGTCTGTGTCTTGGGAAGCACAGATCCTCTCTGGTGGGCACGTGCTGTCCCTGCCCACCGCCCGTCTCCAGGACTCAGGGACGTACACGTGTGTAGCCAGCAGTGCTGTGGGGGAGGACAGACATGAGATCACCCTTGAGGTGCAGTGTAAGTACCCCTGTGCATCCCAGCCCCTTCCCACCAATGTGGGTTGGAGGTGATTCTTAGGACTGTGGGGCTGCTCTGCTGTCCCCTGGCAAGCTCACAGGGCTGGGGAGGATCAAAGTGGATGGCTTGGGAAAGGTGTTGCCCTGTTGATCTGGTTTCCAGTGCCCCCCACCACCCCGGGTGAGGAGGAGAACGTCACTGTCATCGTCAGCCAGCCTGTGACCCTGCAGTGTGTGACCCCCGGGGTCCCTGCTCAGGGGTCCCGCTGGCTGAAGGACGGGAGTTTGCTCACACCAAAGCCGGGTGTGCAGCTGTCTGCAGAGGGGACTGTGCTCCAGGTGATGTCTGGGGATACTGCAGGGGATGGCAGGGGAAATGGGGCTGTGAAGGTGCCTGTTCCCTCTTCCTCACCCTTGCAAGAGAGTGAGTGCAGAGTGAAGGGGTGTCCCAGTCCATGGCTCAGCACCATTCCCACCCTTCATGCTGGTTCCATCCCCATGCCTTCTGCTGGCACAAAATCCTGCCATGGAGAGGCTGTGTGGGTCCAGCTCTGCTTGTGTGTCTGCTTAGTGTCTCTCTTTGTCTGGGCAGATTGGGCAAGCCACCGTGCAGGATGTGGGCAGGTACACGTGCCAGGTGCCCGGCCACCCTGAGAGACACTACAACCTCCACGTGTGGGGTAAGGGCCACTGTGACTGAAACACCCCATCAGGGATGTAAATATATATATAGTGTGTGTATACAAAGGATAGACTGTATGCTATTCCATTTTCATATTTAAAATATGTCCCTGAGGACATACTGATCCTTGTTTGGAAAACACTCAGCAAAATGACACACCTGGAGGTGTCAGGGAACCCCCACCAGGCTGGGGTGAGAGGGGGAAAAAAAGATAATGTTTGCCTGAGCCTTGGGGGGGAGATTTCAGTGATGAAGCAGAAGTGGTGTCTTTTAGAAATTTGGGCAGCAGACTGAAGGATTTCCTTGCTGTTGCCAGGACTTTCCTGTCCTTTCTTTGCACTACATCAGTACGGTCGTCACTGTAGGTACCATTCCCCTTCTGTCCCCCTGGCCAAGTCAGGGGGGATGCCAGTGCTGGCTCCAGGGCTGCTGCCAAGACGGCCACTGGCCACTTTTTCTCACTTGATCTGAGCGTCTTTGCAGCCTCCCAGACCACTCAGCATGTCCACAATGCCAGGGCCTGAGCCAGGGTCTGGCTTTTCTCAGGGATACTCTAGGCCAGTTGGTGGAAGTCCTGAGGGCAGGTAGCCAGGGAGTGGAGAAAATCCAGTTCTCCTGGTCTGGGCTTGTTCCTGCGATCCCTTCCCAGGGAAATGTTTGCACGTCTGCCGTCCTGGCTCGGGTGGATTGTTTGGGTTCTGCTGTTTTTGTTTTTCAGGGGTTTCTGGGTGTTGGGGTTTTTGTTCTACAAACTGATATCCCTCATGGGAAGGAGTTACTGTTTTCCAGCCAGCTGTATTTATGAGCAACTGAGAACAGCATCCGAATAATGGAAAGAGTTGGGTAACCCTCCCAGCGAGCAGGGCTACTTAATAAGGCTGTGTCTGGCCAACCTGACCTTGGCCTCTTGTGTGCCTGGCGTGGGATGCTTGGTCATCCTCTGCTGTGGGCCACGTGTAGTCAAAAGCATTGCTCACTTGGCTGGAGAGACAAGATTATTGTTTCCACGTGGAGCCAGGGCAGGAGAGTCCCGCTGGTTTTTGAGTGGCACCAGCAGAGCTGCAGGTGGTGTGTATCCAGCAGGATGGAGCTCCAGTGAGGAGCTGCCCTTCTCTTCTTGTCTGGTGCCATCAACGAGCTGCTCCTCTCATCCCTGCAGTGCCTCCGTCCTTCTCCTCAGCAGAGCCCGAGCCTGTGTCCGTGCTGGAGGGGCAGTCTGTCAGGCTGGCCTGCGAGTGCCATGGGATCCCCTTCCCCACCCTGAGCTGGCAGAAGGATGGTAGGGCACTGCTTCTCAGTCTCATCCCTCCCCACGCATGTGTTGACCCAGATGTTGGTCTCCTTGGAGCACGGAGTGCTTTATGCTGAGCAGCATCCAGCTTCTGGGTGGGAACTGGTCCTGCTGGGAGCCTGACAGGAGGCTGCTCTCCCCTTTCCTGGGCAGGTGAGCCCCTCTCCACCCAGCCTGGGAGCCCAAAGCTGGTGTCCATGGGAGGGAGTGTGGTGTACATGGAGAAGGTACAGCTGGTGGACGAGGGGACTTACACCTGTGAGTGCCATAACGCCGCCGGCAGCAGCAGCAAGGAGCATCGCCTGGAGGTGCACGGTGAGCTGGGGGGGCTAGAGACATGGAGGACTCGTGGGGGTGGCTGAAGGTGTTGTCACCTCTCTCAGTGCAAGGTCCAGATGGACCTAAAAGCCATTGCCTGGTGCCTTGGGTATTTTGGGAGGGATGCTGTTACCTGGGCTGGCTTTGCCCCTCCGCTTGTGCACGGCCACGGGAGTTGCTACAGTGTCACCTCCCCCCTGTGTCCCTCTGCCCACAGCGCTGCCGAGGGTCCAGGGCAGCAGCAACACCCCAAGGAAGGTTTCTGTCATCGAGGGTGGTCAGACAGTTCTGGAGTGTGAGGCCATGGGGATGCCAACACCCTCCGTGACGTGGGTGAAGGACGGGCAGCCCGTGGCTGGTGGGGACGGGCTCCTGCTCACGGAGCAAGGGAGGCGGCTGCACATCCCCAGGGCAGAGGTGACCCACACGGGACGCTACACTTGTCTGGTGGCCAACGCAGAGGGACAGGAGCAGAGGGAGTTTGATGTTGTGGTGCACGGTAAGGATGTGGGATGGGGCTGCTGGCTGGGGGGTGTGCGTGCAGGCGACATCAGGAGGGTGGTGATGTCCCACATGGAGCAACCTGATGTGGAGTGGAGCAGATCCTGGACATCCAAGCACACAGAAGGTCTTGGCAGGGTTATGCTCCAGGAATAGCTGTAGAACTGTGTCCTTTAGGCAGGCGTTTCTTTCCATAGTCAACACAGCAGATCATCCCACTCTTTATAAAGTCCTACCTAAGACTTGGGAAACCCCATGAGCTGAACTTGAGCTATATAAGGCCTGAGGTGGCTCAGGGCGTGTGGCCAGCTTGGTGTCACACTGTAAGCCCGGGCTCAGGTGTGCAGCTAAGTGGCACATTCTTGCTGTGGGTCAACTGTCCCACAACACCTTTGAAGTCGACACCTCCAGTTGATGCTAATGGTCCTTCTGGGTTTGTGTCCTCAAACTCTACGAACCAGGAAGGTGGGGAAAAGCCAAGTTCACTCACTTTGCTTTCCTCTGATGTCTTGTGTGCTTTGACAATGGAAGTCCCTCTTTTCTGCATCCCCAGTTCCTCCTGAGTTCCTTCAAGGATCAGGATTGACAACCAATGTCACCATCTCACTGCAAGAATCCCTGACACTGACTTGTGAGGCCACTGGTGTTCCTCAGCCCACGGTCACCTGGTTCTGGGATGGCTCTCCTGTCACCCCCAGCGAGAACATGCATGTGCTTTCAGGTCAGGGATCTGGATGCTGTGAGAGATGAGTGCTTTTGGAAGTGCTTTTGCCCCAACACTGATGAGTTTAAACTCATGGTGGAGCTCCAGTCCTACAGGAGCTCTGCTGGGATGTGTTGGTGCCTGGATCAGGGCCCTTAGACCTCTGTGCTCTGTGTTTCCAGGGGGCTGGCTGCTGAGGCTCACCCATGCTGGAGCACAGGATGGTGGCCACTATTCCTGCCTGGCCAGTAACATAGCTGGGGAGGCCAGGAGGCATTTCTACGTGGAGGTCCTGGGTAAGGAGGGGTCTTCTGTCTGCTGCAGGATTCCTGGTGGGATTTCAGAGCTCCACCCTTGCAGGAACAGGCATGAGTTACGACTGGACATGCTGGGAGCTACAGTGCTTGAGCCCTTTGTGTCTTAGGATGTGAGCTCAGAGGCTCAGCGATGCTGGCCAGCTGCTGAGGTCCCTGGTGGCTTGTGTTCCTAGTTCCTCCCCACATCGAGAATGCAGGTGAAGAAGAGACAATCAAAGTGCCAGAGGGTCAGCCTGTCACCTGGTCCTGCTTGGCTGCAGGTGAGCATCAAGTGGGGAGGGGAGGTGGCATGAGCAGGTGAGAGATGGGGCTCAGGAACAGACCTGAGTTTCCCTTTGGGATGTGGAACAAACAGATGACTCCAGTCGAAGACTTAAGAAATTGTCTGAAGAGCTTTTTTGGGACAGTTCCTGGCTCTGCAGTTGGGCTTTCTGGGAAGCACTATAGGGTGGGGACGCCCACGTGAGGAGCTTGTTCCACAGTGTAAGCTCCAATCTTTCCCAAATGGTGCTAAAATTCCTCTCATCTGGTTCCTCCTTTAGTAACGGGAATAATTAATCACCTCCCACTCAGGACAGTTCTCTTTCTTCTTGCTGGTTCATCCAGCTGCCTCTAAAAACCTGATCCAGATCATGATAATTTTGATTTGGGCTGATGTCCCTGCTTTCCAGAAAAGCTCTGGTGCAGTGACCCTGGTCAGGGTGTGCTCACACATGGAAAAACTTTACACAGAGGCCAAAACCTGCTTTCCACCCCACACAGGAAACCCGCAACCTAAGATCACCTGGCTGAAAGACAACCACCCTCTTCCCAGTGGGGACACCTTCTCCACATCCCCCGACGGCTCCGTGCTCCACATCCCCAGAGCCTCCCTGCCTCATGCCGGCCGCTACTCCTGCCTGGCCTCCAACTCTGTGGCAAACCAGACCAAACACTACCTGCTGGATGTTTTGGGTATGAGATCCCTTTGGATGGAGGCAGAGCCTCAGGTGTGAGCAGACCTAAAGGGTTTTTAATGGCCTGTCCCAGGTAGGTGGTGAGGATCCCTTAGTCCTGCAGCCAGCAGCTTGGCATGAGGTCCTGGACCTGTCCCAAAGCCCTTGTGAGATCTCTTGGAGGAACTAAAGTGTCCACCTAGTGCAGGATCCATCTCTGTTGGTGGTTTGTGGGAAGGGGGAATGTGTCTTCTGTGTCCCCCATGTTTTTGGAGGGCAGCAGGACAAGGCAGAATCTAAAGGTGGCACATGCTGTGACCAAATCCAACTCCCTGACCTTGGATCATGCTCTCTGGTTGGGGAGGATGAAGCACTGGGAAGCCTAAGTGGGTGCTAATGCTGATCTGTCACACAAACCTGTCTCTGCAGCCACTCCTACCTTTGCTCAAGATGCCCACGATGCTGCTGCAGAAGAAGTCACAGTGATCATCAACAACCCCATCTCCCTGGTCTGCGAGGCTCTGCCATACCCATCTCCCAACATCACCTGGCTCAAGGACGAGGTTCCTCTCAAAGCATCTAGAAATGTCCTCCTGCTCCCTGGTACTGTGCTGGTGTCCACTGGCTTTGCACAAGTGCAGTAACCCCTTACTGCATGTCTGGGGGAGTGGGAGCGAGGCCTTTTCTTGGTCTGGCTTTGCTCCAGGGCAGTGGGATGGTGAGTCATCATCCTGCAGGACCCAAGGGGCTCAGACCATCAGGTAGATGCTGCTCTTCCCTGTGCTGCATCCTCTGGTAATAGCTAGAGCCTCCTTAGTGCTGGTTTTTATAAACCTGGTACCCGGCATTAGACCCCCTCGAGCCAGGCTTGCAGGTGATCAGCAGGTCCCTTGAGGTGCTGCACTAGGGATAGACAGCTGGGGCTGCGAGCAGCGACCCTCTCAGGAGACCCCCTTTCCCAGGTGGCCACGGGCTGCAGATCCTGAATGCCCAGGAGGAGGATGCAGGCACGTACAGCTGCATCGTGGCCAGCGAAGACGGGGAGGCTGTGAAGAACTACAACGTGAAGGTCCTGGGTGAGGGAGCTCTCCGTGTCCTTCCTAATTCTTGCAGTGACCCCAATACTGCAACCAAGCCAGTGCTTATTCCTTTCCCTTCCTTTCCCTGGTCCCAGTACAGACACCTGAGGGACATCACTTACCAAGGGTCCATCTTTGGGTGTCAGCACTGCCCTGAGGTGCTGCCTATCACTGATTAGGGCAGAGCAAGGGTGCTGGGGGCTCTTCTCTCATCCCAGCTCTGTTGTATTTCCCCACTAGTTCCTCCTTGGATCTCCAGAGATGACCCTTCAGGGGAATTTGCTGTGAAAGAGGTGAAAACCAAGGTCAACAGCACAGTGATGCTGGAGTGTGAGACCTGGGCTGTGCCTGAGCCAACCATCCGGTGGTACAAGAACAAGCAGGTGAGGTCCTAACTGCGACCAGGGAGGAGCTGCTGGATCTGGGGACTGTCCCAGGTAGATGGAGTGGGAAGATATGGCTGTCTGGGCTCTGTTCTGCTCCTGGGGGTCTAATTCTCCTCCTGCCCTTCTGTTTCTCCCCTGCCCTGGGTCTGGGGTCTCCATGTAGCTCCTGGAAAGCACCGGACACCTCCAGATTCTCAGTGAGGGGCAGGTCCTTCAGATCAAACCAGCCAGTGCCTCAGATTCGGGGCATTACACCTGTGTGGCCACCAACGCTGTGGGTGAAGACGACAGGGACTTCATCGTGCATGTCCAAGGTGAGCCCGGGGTGGAGAGCCTGCACCCAGAGCAGTGGGTGTCTCAGCAAGAGAAGGGGTCCTTGGTGGGGTTCCATGTGGGAGCAGAGCAGGATGAGCAGGAAAAAAGTTTATGCCTGATGGAAAACATCTCCTTGGTCCTGGTCAGGCCCGGGTAGGTGCTCTGGTTGCACCTGGGGGTGTGAGTCCCTGTTCCCCACAGCTGACCACAGCCTGTCCCTGCAGTGCCTCCGCTCTTCCAGCAGCAAACAAGCCCCAAAGAAGCTCTTGAGATCTTCTACCGGGAGGAAGACCAGGATGGGGAGGTGACAGAGCACCGGCAGGCTGTCCTTGACCAGCCCACCGCGCTCTACTGCGACACCAGCGCCATTCCACCCCCCCAGCTCACCTGGTACAAGGATGGAGAGCCCCTCTCCCCCGGCCCAGGGGTGCTGATGCTGTTAGGTAATGGGCACAGACCCCCACCGTGGGGTTTGGGGGGCAGTCCTGCAGCAGCTGTGTGGGTTGAGAGCATCCATAGCATGGATGCTCCCGCCAGCGTGCACAGCACCTGTGGGACCTGCTGAGGCTGCATTAGGGGTCTGTGCATGGGGTGGTTGGAGGGGCCAGCCCACGGACGTGCCCCTGTCCCTGTGCTGCAGGGGGCCGGGTGCTGCAGCTG